TGGCGGCAGCGTCCTGCTCGCGAGCCTGGTCGCGGTGCTGCTGGCCGTGGGCCCCGTGGGGCCCGTGGGCTGCATGGCCGCCGTGGGGGGCAGCCGGGGCGGCCAGGGCGCCCCCGAGGGAGGGCTGGCCAGGCCGCTGCGCCCCACCCAGTTCCACACGCCCGAGGAGCTGCGGCACTACCTGGACGCCGTGTCCAACTACTACGCCGTCAACAGCAGACCCGGGTAAATGACAATAGTTCAGCGCAAAATAAAGAGAAAGAAGAAAAAAAAGATTCGTTTTCATCGTATTTGATGGTTACTTGCACCATTAATTCGTACCTCACTCGAAATACGTTACGTAACTCATGTATGAATAATTTATCCCCTCAAAAAATCAATGTTAAAAAGTCCATAGTGCCGACGATAGCACAAAAGTTACACACTTCTACTAAGCGTAATCTGTGTACCGAGTCCTCCCTGAGGATCGCCCAGAAAGTTCGTCCGCCTTTCTGAGATTCAATCGGGACATTGTCGGAGATGGGCGCCTGCGAGACTCAGGGTAGGCCATCCCGCAGTACGCGCATGCACTGCAGGCAAGATGTTGCCTACCCAACAGGCGCTAAGAGAGCTTGCGTTGGCTTAACTTGACAAGACAAAGGTTCACAACGGCGAATATCGGATACGTACTTTCTGGATGATCCCCCTGTCTGTCTCGTCCCCTGTGCTGTCCATCTTACATTGAGTGACGCTGCCCTGTCCAGCCGCTTCGGCAAGCGCTCCTCGCACGTGCCGCACCGGGGTCCGCTCGTCGGCCCTCTCATGGGCCCCCTCGTCGGGCAGCTGCAGCGGGAGGAGCGGGTCTCGGCGCAGCGCCGGGACGCGGCGCTCGAGAACAACGACCAGGCCCTGGAGGCGCTGGAGCGGGGCCTGGACAGCGGGGACGCCATGCCCGACTACCTCTACCAGTGAGTATTCCAGAACATGCGGTCAGGCGCGGTATAAGGGCCGACCGGCAGCGGGAGGCTATGCAACCTCCCTACATACAGGGGTTGAGTGGGAGTGGTGAAAATTACTCATCGTTTAAACGGCTCCCTGCTAGGGCCGACAGGGGCGGCGAAGTGGGTACGATCTCCCCCTCCCCTCCGCGATACCGCCACTGCAAGTCTTAGTTTTCTGAGAGTTTTTGATTTTAAATTGTGTACAAAAATACCAGCTTTTTTTCGAATGCATTTGAATTGACTTCAAATGTCAGCGTCTCTTCCCCATTCTTGCCGCCTGGACGAACTCGGGCTGGGGCTGGCCCTCACACCGGTACCGTACCAACACCACCGGACCACCGGATGTGGGGCTGTCGGCTCGGCTGCCGCCTACACAAAGACAGCTGGCAAACTGGGTGACGAGGTGGAAGGCGGGCGGGGTGGGGTGGTGCTTGGATGCATGAAGTCACTACATTACCATGATAATTTTGGAAAAGCGTGGAAGCGGCGCATGCGCCTTTGAGAGCGGAGAGGCCGAAGGGAGCAAAGCGCATGTGAAATTCATACATGCTGTTCTCTCCACCATTCTCGCTCGAAAACAACCCCCCCCCAAAAAAAAATGGAAGTCGTTAAAAAGCGGTTTAAAATCTTCACCCCTTTCCATTTTTGAGCATTATGCAGGACAAAGGGAAAAATCTGTGACGAGGCGGCCGCTGCTTCGGAGTCAACAATCAACAAGGCAAAAACGATTTTCCGTCTTTAAGGGTGTTAAGATCAAGTCGGTGCTCGCTCACGGCTAGCGACCGTCCGAACCAGGAGAAGGAGAGGGAGTAAGGAGGGATGGGAAACAGCAGAGATGGAGGGGGG